TGGCGGCGCTGCGGCGCGAGAAGGTCGCGAGAAGGGGCCGAGGGCATCGGATTTGATCGGGGCGAACCGGGTGCCGAGGGAGCTGAAGCGCGACTCGACGTTCAAGATCGTGACGCGGCCGGTCGACTTGCAACGGTTAGGCTTGGTGGTGGTGGTGGTGTCCGACAGCTCGTTCGGCAACGCGATGTCCGACGGCGCGGCGCTGCAGTCGGGCCCAGCGACGGAGAAGATCGGCGCCCAGGGCGGCTGCCTCATCGTGTGGAGGCTGCCCCGGTCTCGCATTCGGGCGGCCTGAAGCCGTGTTGACCGGTCTGGATGCCCTCTGGGGGGCCTCCGAACGACCTTGCGTCGAATGTTGGCCCTCTTGGACCATTTTAGGGGCCTCCTGGCAGCCCTATTGACGCCAGGATTCCTCTCCCGAGGAGTCCATCCGGAGGTCGTCCCGGGCCTGAGTGGGGGGCTGATTTTCTGGTTTCGAGGGCCGGGGGGGGGTTTGGGAAATTGGTCTCACACGCCCAGAGGCCCACAAGGGGTCGGCGGAAAAGGTCTCGCCTTCGAGGATCGAAGGAGTTGATCTCTTTCCCTCGGCGGAAGGAGGCGGAAGCAAAAGGAAGGTGCCTCCTCCGGCGGGGGCCGGCGGAAGGCAGGCTGAATGCGTTCACTCGCTCAATCACAAAGCCACGTCGCACGACACATCGGTTCAGGGGACAGTTTTCGCCGCGCAGGAAGGGCGACAATCAGAGACTACACCTAAGCACCTATAGGGTCAATGGGAAAATCATATTGTTGAACCTTTCCTTTCCAAATTGGCTGTCCATGCGCGGCAAAACGAGGGTGCCGGAACAATGCGTTCAAGGCCGCGTCAGGCGGAATGCGGCGGAAGTGAACATCTTCCTCTCACGAGATGAGGGGGGGCTATCGATACAGTCGAGGCTGATGATTGGGTCGGCCCTGCCAAATCGAGGGTACCCTTGTGTCCTATTTTTCGCAACCCGTGCCTTCTACATATCGATGGCACTGTTCGGCGGCGAGCGAGGGGGGGAAGTGAGAAGGACGATGCCTTCTCAGAAGGCGGCGGGGCTTCTCGGAAGCCCTCTGGCCTTCGGGGAAGTTTTCTGTGTCTTTGGGGAAGACTTATCAAGTTGTTGACGCTTCAAGTATCACCACCAACTCCTGCTAGCCCGGCGTTCGACTCGTTTCGCGCGCCCGCGTACCAAAAGATATCCCCGCCAACCTTGGGTTGTTCTCTGCGCCATTGCGTCTTGAGGACTGTGCACATCCAGCCGCCGTAGTCCGCAGATTCATGCAACCTGCGGTTCGCAGCCCGGAGTAGTTATGTGGTCTGCTACGGCAGAAGACGCAGCATGTATATCCCGATTGCATTATCAATCACGCTTTTGTCGGGGCCCTCATGAGGCAACCAGGCGTCGCATGGCATGGGCACTGCGTTGCATTCTATTCCGTAGCATTGTCGCAACGTCACTATACTTATCATGGTGTGTATATTCAGATACTGCCTAACACAGTAGTTGCAGTATCAGTGGTGTGCCAGACGGTGCTTTGGTGCATTCAGGATCACGGCTCGAGGGTGTGTGCGCGTGCTTTGGTGGATTCGGGGTCGCGGCATCGGGGTTCTTACGCAAGCGCGCATGCTGGGGCCGAGTCTGGGAAATACAAGGAAGAACCCCCCCTTCGGCCCAAATGCGGGCCGAACGGGCATTGCAAGGAAGAGCGCCCCCTGCGACCCCCCTTTTCTGCCTCTTCCGTCGCCGGGCGACGGGTGACAACGGCGAGCAGGCCAGCTCAGATCCATCCTCCCTCAAACACCCGTTTTCCCTCCTTCTCCGGCGCGTCCTCCTCCTCCTTTTCTTCCTCTTCCTCTTCCTCCTCCTCCGCCCCCCCTCCTCCTCTCCTCCTTCTTCCTGCGAGTCGGGAGGAGGAGGAGGGGGACGACGACGACGAGGAGGAGGAGGAGCAGCAGCAGCAGGAGGATGAGCAGCAGGAGAAACAGGAACACTCAGAGGAAGTGCCGCTCGCGAGGTGGCCGGCCCGTTTCGCCTGAGACATCTTCGCAATTCTGGGCTCCGCTATGTCCTGACCCGAGGTGATCCAGCCCGTTTCGCCTGAGACGTCCTCGCATCTGCAGGTTCAGAGATGTTCTGACCTGAGGTGGTCTGGCCCGTTCCGCCTGATGCATCCTCGCAACTCTAGGCATAGGGATGGTCCTGACCTCCCAGGGGCTTGGGTGCCTCCCGTGTGGCCTGGGCGGGGGGGGGGCCCAAGAGCATCGAAGGGGGTTCTCAAGAAAATTCAGCTGTGGATTCGGCGCGCGCAGACAAGATTCCCCTCCTCGATCTGTGGATTCGGAGCCGGCAGCACGGCTGCCCCACCCCCGATCTGCGGATTCTATATGCGTGCGCCAGACGACCCCAGGACCATATGCGGAAAACGTGCGTGTCCGCAGATTGCCCTGTGGGCGCACCCCTTGTCCGCAGATTGTGCGCTCAGGCCCAGGCAATCTGTCCGCACTTGAAAGTGCAGTCTGTGGACTGGGGACACTCTGTCCGCACTTGACAGTACAATCTGCGGACGACCACCTGGAAATTGCTGTCCACATTTCACAGTGCAATCTGCGGATTCGGTCATTGTCCACGACCGCTGCTCGTCAACCCGATGGTGCCCCGACCTTGGTGCCTAGTCAGGGGGGTGGGGCCTGGGTGGGGACCCTGTCTCCGCACATGACAGTACAATCTGCGGACTGCCTCGGCCACGAACGGCAACGCGCAGCACCGCGAGGCACTGGCAGCAGTGAAACTTCAGTCAAGCGAGTGCCCTCTCGCGTGACTTAAGTTTCACTGTTGTTGAGGGCTACTTCGCTGCCAAGAGGCCCCCCAAGAAGGCCTCGAGAGGGCTCCAAGAGGGCCCAAGATGACCCCAAGAGGGCCCCAAGAGGGCCCAAGAGACCTCCAAGAGGCCCCCCACGGGGCCCCAAGAGGGCACCCAACCAGGCTTCAAGAGGGCCCAGCAACCCCGAGGTGGCTCCAAGAAGGTCCCGAGAGGCCCCGAAAAGGGCTGCAAGTGGTTCCCAAGAACAGTAAATTATAGTCATGCGAGCGCCCCCCTCGCGTGGCTTAAGTTTCACTGCTCTTGGGGCCCCTTTGATGCCCAAGAGAGGGGCGGGCCGCGGTCGTCGTTCCTCGCTTCCCCATTCTCTGCTTTTCGGTTATGATCTATCGTCCGGGAGGGATCCAAGAGGACCTCAATAGGGCCCCGAGAGGGCGCCCAAACCAACAAACACTTTAAACAGCTGGTTGTTTACAATACAAGTGCTGTTTCCTCTTGGGCCCCTCTTCGGGTCCTCCAGGTCCCTCTTGAGGCATTATCGGAGGTCCTCCAGGTGCTCCCAGGACGTCCTCGAGGGTTCCAAGAGGGCCCAAAGAGGGCTCCAAGAGGGCGCCCAACCCGACAAAAACTGCAAACAGCTGTCTGTTGACAAATCATTCACCTCTTGGGGCCCTCCAGGGGCCCTCTTGATGCAATATTGGAGGTCCTCCAGGTGCTCCCAGGACGTCCTCGAGGGCTCCAAGAGGGCCCAAAGAGGGCTCAAAGAGGGCGCCCAAACCAACCAAAAATGGTAAACTCATGGTTGTTTACAATTTGTTCCCCTCCTGGAGCCCTCCAGGGGCCCTCTTGAGGCAATCTTGAAGGTCCTCGGGGTGCTCTCAGTCTTTGCATCAGGTTTGCCAAGAACACCAGTTCTTTACGTCAAGTTTGCCTGACGGCGCGCCGCCACTTTCCGAGCCGCTTGGCCCTCCAACGTGTCCGCCAGACAAGATCCGCACATTGGCAGAATCTGCGGACAGGGGTGTCGGTCGCCATGCATTGGCTCCAGAAACAGGCCCCAACAACAACCCAACGCCATCCCATCCAGAAACGATGCCCAGGGGAGTTGAAGTGATCAGGGAAATGGGGGAGCATGCAGATTAACACAGGCCGGGGAAAACCGTCCGATACCCCAAGAGGGAGAGGATGGTGGAGGAAACAAAGGAGGAGAATAATGAGGAGAGCGATGAGTAGGAAGGGGGAAGAGACAGTGGACAAGGATGATGATGATGATGATGATGATGCTGATGCTGATGCTGATGCTGATGATGATGATGATGCTGATGATGATGATGATGATGATGATGATGATGATGATGATCCCGCTCCCCCTGGGGGGTTACCGCTGAGCTGCTGAGGATGATGCTGATGATGCTGATGATGATGATGATGCTGATGCTGATGCTGACGCTGATGATGATGATGATGCTGATGATGATGCTGATGCTGATGCTGCTGCTGATGATGATGATGCTGATGATGATGATTGTGCTGGTGATGGTGATGCTGATGCTGATGCTGATGATGCTGATGCTGATGCTGATGCTGATGCCGATGCTGATGCTGATGCTGATGATGATGCTGATGCTGAGTCCGATGATGATGATGATGATGATGATGATGATGATGATGATGATGATGCTGATGATGATGATGATGATGATGATGATGATGATGATGATGATGATGATGATGATGATGGTGATGGTGATGGCGATGGTGGTGGTGGTGGTGTGGTGATGATGATGATGATGATGATGAGGAGAAGGATGAGGAGGAGGAGGAGGAGGAGGAGGAGGAGGAGGAGGAGGAGGAGGAGGAGGAGGAGAGGAGGAGGAGGAGGAGGAGGAGGAGGAGGAGGAGGAGGGGAGGAGGAAGGAGGAGGAGGAAGGAGGAGGAGGAGGATCAGGAGGGGAGGAGGAGGAGGAGAGGAGGAGGCGGAGGAGGAGGAGGCGGATGAGGAGGAGGAGGAAGGAGGAAGCAGCAGAAGAAGAAGAAGAAGAAAAGAAGAAGAAGAGGAGGAGGAGGAGGAGGAGGAGGAGGTGGAGGAGGAGGAGGAGGAGGAGGGGGAGGAGGAGGAGGAGGGGGAGACCACGGTGCCACGGTTGGCCCAGCAGGAGGCCAGAGGAGGACGTCCTGGGCCCCGCCGACCTCGCACAGTGCGTGGACACTTTCAGGCGTGGACCCACCAGCCTTCGGCGGCCCTCGGCAGCGGCCGTCGGCGGCCTTCGGCGGCGTTCAGCTGCCCTCGGCGGCTCTCGGCGCCCTCTTTCGGTGGACGAGGGGCCGCTTCGGCTGCTGCTGCTGATGCTGCTGATTCTGATGCTGCTGACGCTGATGCTGATGATGATGCTGATGCTGATGCTGATGCTGATGCTGCTGATGCTGCTCATGATGATGATGATGATGGTGGTTCTGATGATGATGGTGATCATGATCATGGTGGTGATGGTGGTGGTGAGGGCGATGATGATGATTGTGCTGGTGATGGTGATAGTAATGATGTTGATAATGATTACGACGTCGACCACAACCACGGCGATCATGATGCGGATGATGATGCTGCTGATGATGATGCTGATGCTGATGCTGATGATGATACTGCTGATGATGCTGATCATGACGATGATGATGACGATGATGATGATGATGCTGCTGATGATGATGATGATGAGGCTGATGATGATGATGGTGATCATGTGGATGAGAAGGGCGACGATGATGATGCTGATGATGATACCTCTGCTTGTGGTGAGGATGATGTTGACGATGATCATTATGACACTGATGCTGATGATGGTGCTGATGATGGTGCTAGTGATGCTGCTGACGATGATGATGCCCTGATGCTGATTCTGATGACTATGTTGGCGATACTGATGATGCTGATACTGATGATGTTGTTGTTGATGATGATCATGATGCTGATGCTGATGATGATGACGTTGATGCTGCTGCTGCTGATGATGATGATGATCACGATGCTGATTATGATGCTCCTGCTGATGATGATGATGCTGGTGATGACGATGATGCGGATGCTGATGCTGATGATGCCGCTGATGATGATGATGCTGAGGATGATGATGATGATGATGATGCTCCTGCTGTTCTTGTTGATGTCGATGCTGAGAACGATGGTGTTGCTGCTGCTGACTATGACGATTGCGGCGGTTGCGACGACGACGACAATGCTAACGACACTCTGATGATGAAGATGCTGATGCTGATGATGCTGATGCTGATGCTGATGCTGTAGTTGATGAAGAGAATGGCAATGTTGATGATGATGCTTCTGCTGCTGCTGCTGCTGCTACTGATGAGGCTAATGATGATGCTGCTGCTGACGATGATGATACTGACACTGATGATGATGATGATGATGATGATGATGATGATGATGATGATGATGATGCTGATGATGATGATGATGGTGCTGACGATGGTGCTAGTGATGCTACTGACGATGCTGATGTCCTGATGCTGATCCTGATGACTAAGTTGGCGGTGATGATGATGATGATGATGATGATGATGATGATGATGATGATGATGATGATGATGATGCTGATACTGATGATGTTGTTGATGATGATGATGATGCTGAGCGATGATGCTCATGATGCTGATGATGATGACGATGATGCTGCTGCTGATGACGATGATGATGATCACGCTGCTGATGATGATTCTCCTGCTGATGATGATGCTGGTGATGATGATGATGATGATGATGATGATGATGATGCTGATGCTGATGCTGATGCTGATGCCGCTGATGATGATGATGCTGATGATGGTGATGATGATCCTGCTGTTCTTGTTGATGTCGATGCTGAGAACGATGGTGTTGCTGCTGCTGACTATGACGATTGCGGCGGTTGCGACGACGACAATGCTAACGACAATTGCGGCGATTACGACGACGACAAAGATGATGCTGATGATGATCCTGATGATGATGATGATGATGATGATGATGATGATGATGATGATGATGCTCTAGTTGATGAAGATAATGGCAATGTTGATGATGATGCTGCTGCTGCTACTGATGAGGATGATGATGCTGCTGCTGACAATGATGATACTGACACAGATGCTGATGCGGATGATAATGATGTTGCTGATGATGCTGATGATGCTGATGCTGATGATGATGATGATGCTGATGATGACGACTATGATGACGATGATGCTGATGATGATGACGATGATGCTGATTATGATGATGGTGATGATGGTGATCGTGATGATGATGATGATGATGATGATGATGATGATGATGATGATGATGATGATGATGATGATGATGATGATGATGATGCTGATGCTGATGTCTACGCTGCTGACTATGGTCATAATGTTGATCGCTCCTCTAGAGCGTCTCTTTTCTCTTCTTCCTCGTTCTGCTTGCCACTTTTCTCCCTCTTGCTTCCTCTCTTTCCTCGTCTCTCGCTTCTCGTACTAGTGGCATAAAGGCGGTGCCCCATAATTAGGGAGGGGGCTCTCGTTCGAGTCCTCGTCGCTGTTCGCTCGCACACGAGGCTCCCACTCGCAGCATCCTCGCGGTTCAAGCTTCCGGATACCAAAGGGGACGGCAGTCAGAGGATTTTGGATGGCCGCCTCGGACTACTAGCATGAAGTGGGGGCCCCGTAGAAAGTGAGCCCGCTCGAGGTTTTGTCGCGATTCACTCAAAGGCGAGGTTCCCGTTCGAACCATCCTCACGAGTTGCCCCCTTTGGATGCTTATTTGTTGTGCCTGCTACGGTATGCCGATGACCGCCTCGGATTGCAAACATGAAATGGGGAGCCCACTGGGAGGGGGGCCCCACTCGCACCTTCCTCGCCACGCACTCACGCACGACGCAAAAGCTCGAGGCCTCCTGAAGATGTGTGTGAGTGTGTGTGTGTGTGTGTGGCCCGGGCTTCCGTCTCCCTCCCGCCACCGCCGGGCGCCTCCTCCTCTCCCCCATCGCGACTTAATTCGCGTTCGTATGCCATAGCGATGCCTATCCGCCAGTCCCTTTGCCTAGCCGCCGACGCAACAAGTGTGTGTGTGTGTGCGCGCGTGTGTGTGTGTGTGTGTGTGTGCGTGTGTGCGTGTGTGTGTGTGTGTGTGTGTGTGCGTGTGCGTGTGCGTGTGCGTGTGCGTGTGCGTGTGCGTGTGCGTGTGCGTGTGTGTGCGTGCGCGGGCGAAACACCAGCGGCGGCTGACTCTTCCAGGCCGCGTCACCCCATTGGTGGGATGCCTCCTCCAGCGCCGCCAAAGGCCAAGACCCGTGACTGGTCCGCGGACGCGTCCAGCGGTAGTGGGGCCTCTCAGGGCCACCCGAGGCCTCATCAACACTCGCCGACTCCGCGCTGCACGCTGGCCTCGCTCAGAAAGTCGCCGACCTCTACGACAACTGCCCCGTGTCCGCCCACACCACTCGGGCCTGGTGCGAGTTGGTAGTGATGTGCTCGGACGATGCGGCAGGGGATGTCAATCTTAACGCGCATTCGTAATCAGCCGCCCTCCTCTCGCAGTTCATCACGTCGCTCCCCCCCGCACATCATCCAGGGGGCCACTTCTGGTGGGCACGCGAACGCGGCGTCGGGCTCGGCCAAGGGTCCGCTCAGCACGAAGCGGCCACCCTGTCGTGACCTCAGTCAGAAGGCGTGGAAGCCTCGCTAGTCGCTCTAGGGCTCTAGGTCCGTCGGCACTTCGCCTGTCTCAGCTCTTCGCGCCTCCCCCTGTCTCCCAGGTGGTGGGCACGCCTCGGCGTCCTCCCTTTCTTCGACTGTTACCCGCGCGTCGCGCACTCGTCGTCCTTGAGGTCGCGTTGGCCCTCGCCGCCTGGGCTCCTCCCCGGCCTGCGGTCGGCTCGCCCTCCCCGTTTTCCTGCCATCCACGCCCGGATGGCAGATGGTCCGGCTTCTTCTCAGGCTGGCGCGCGCGGGTTCCGTTTGCCTGATTTGATTCGCTCCGCCTCGACGCTGTGCGCGAGGCCGCGACCGACAAAGTGTGTATGAGTGTGTGTGTGTGTGTGTGTGTGTGTGCGAGTGTGAGTGTGTGTGTGTGAGTGTGTGTGTGTGTGTGTGTACGTGCTTCCCGACGAGGCGCTCGCCGCACTCTGCAGCATAAGAAGGCTCCCATCGGACGCCGTCCACATATTACATCTTGGCAGATCAACGGACGGCATCATTTGTCTGGAACCGCTGTAGCATGGGGGGTGCCGCGCGGGTCATTCGACGCCGAAGCCATGCCATCCACCATCTCTTATTGGCCCGACGACGTGTCCAGATTAGAGGAGATTGTATTGGACACGACCGACAATTACCGGCAAGAACATTCCCAGGCAGAGCAGCACTACACCTTACGTGTTATTAAGGCTGCGCTTGATGAGGTAGTCCTTGTCCTGGAATCGAAGTCAACACGAGGATGGTAACGATAGATGGACGCTACCAATCGCCCTCCTTCTTCGTGATGAACCCTTACACGAGGATGTCCGCGACTGGGTGTCCCAGAGTCGTGAGCGGCTGACTGGGCATATATCCAACGACAATATCAGGATCTAGGACATTGTTACAGGACTACAGTTCGTTCTTGTGGAAAGGCATGCTGACGACCCCAATTGCAGCGTCCACCTGCCCGACGGAGGCGACTGGCATATTGACCTCGGAGAGAAAGCGTTTCACGGGCGCTTGCCTTGGAAACATTCGGCGGCGCGTTTCAAACTGGGGGGTGCGCCCCCCCCAACATTCCAACACTTGGCGCCGTCGATCAAAACCACGGGGATTCCCCTCCCCCCCAGACCCCCCCCTCCCGAACCCCCCCCTCCCCTCCCAGGGGGAGGGGGGTTCAAACCCCCTCCCCCTCGGCGCCCGCGCTGGCGGCCGCCAGCAGCGCCCACGGCGGGGACGCAGCGACGATGACCACAGGCAGCTCAAGGGGGGGGTCAAGCCCCCCCCCCCCCCTCGCGCGGCGCTGGCACTGGCGGCGGCGAGCAGCGCCGGCGCTGGCGCCGGCGACGGCGGGGACGCAGCGGACGATTACCACCACTACCACCACCACCACCACCACTACCACCACCACCACCGCCTCAACCCACCACCACCACCACCGCCACTACCACCACCACCACCACACCATCACCACCACCACCACAAGAACCCACCACCACTACCACCACCA